GAATGTACTTCCTCCACCTCCTCCCGCAGATCGTTCCTTCTTACCCCTCTAAGCCGGTTCAGATGCCTTGTCTCCAGAGCGGCCTCTGATCTCCCTCTTTAGGACAGGCCACCCTGACCCCATCACGCTCTCTCTCTGCACCTTATTTTCTTGACATCATTTATCCCAGTCTGTGGTGATTTGGTTTATTCATTTGTGTCCAGGTTTACTGTCCATCTCCCCTCAAGCCACAGCCCCATGAAGGTCTGTCTGCCTGAGTCACAGTACTGAGGCTCTGGTCCTGCTGGTATGGCTGCTCCCCAAGTTGGCCCACTTCAACCCCAAACACAGCCAGTGCCCTCTGCTCTGTTCCCATGGCGCTACCCACATAAAGCTCTTATATGTGAGCTACTCTTGTGATGAGCTAGTTTAGGACCTTGGGGTTAATAAAGAACAAGGCAGAGGCAGGCAGGGACTGAAACTGAACATCAGTCAGCACTGAACCCCCAGGGCCAGGGGTCTCCTAGGTCTGGGATGCTCCTCACACGCTGCCATCTACAGGTAGGCAAACTGAGTCCAGGGAGATCAGGCCACCAAGCCAGATTCCCCCAGCTGTTGACTCTGGGAGGCCAAGTCCTGTGCAATGAGCCTTTCCCAGAGATGCCAACAGCAATTACAAAACCCAGGGTCCAGCAGCACCAACCCTGGTCCAGGTAGCCTCCTCCTTCTATTGTCGGTCCAATATAAATAGAATGCGAGGCAGACATCTAATCTGATATTTTCTAGTAACCATAGTAACGAAAATAAAATAGATGAGAATAGGTGAAATTCATTTAATATATTTTATTTAACCTAGTATGTTCAAAATACCATTACTTCAACATGTAATCAATATAAAACAATATTAATGAACTATTTTACATTCTTTTTTCGTATTAACTCTTACAAATCCAGTGTGTATTTTACAATTCTGGCACATCTCAGTTCAGACTCGCCACCTTTCAAGTGCTCGGTGGCCACCTGTACCGAGTGGCTACCGGGCTGATAGCGCAGCTCTAGCCAGCCGAGACCCCGTGCTCGCCTAGGGGCACCCCACTCGTCGCAGTGACCCCCTCCCCCCACCCCCCACCCCAGGCAGGGCGGGGCGGGGGCGGGCTAAAGCGCGGCCCCGCCCCCGACGCCGAGCCCGGCCCACCCTGGCAGCTGCCAGAAACGGCTGAATGGACCGGCTGAGCAAGGCAGCCAGCACTCGCCGCGACCCGCCCGTGACCACTAACCTCGCCACCGCCTCCACGGAGCCGGCGATGGGCACGCCGCCGCCCGCGCCGCCATCGTACAGCACGCCCGAGATGTCGAGCAGCACCCCGCGCACGCCGGCCAGTCGCTCGCGCCACGCAGCCATTGCGTCCCGCCGCTTATCGCGCGCCTCAGACTCTGCACCCTGACCGGCGACTGGAAGCGTGTGTCACGCTCGCCGCGCAGGGGCGCCTGGGAAGTGTAGTCCGGCGGGGCGGGGACAGGCGCCAACCTTAGGCAGCCGGGTGCGAACTCCGAATGGCCGGCATGCCTCTGGGCCCGGGGGTCACGCGCCCCAGAAGTGGAGTCCTTTTCAAAACAGAGCCTTACACACTATGGGGAAGTCAGCACAACTGGACTAAACCAAAGCTAAGAAGTATCTTGAATACAACAAAACACTTTGAGGGACAGAGTAGCAGGGGCCGAGTTCTGGGGACCATGGGTTCAGGGGACATCTAGGTCAATTGGCATAACAAAGTTTATCAAGAAAATGTTGTGCATCCTACTTTGGTGATTGGCGTCTGAGGTCTTAAAAGCTAGCGAGCAGCCATCTAAGATGCATCAATTGGTCCCAACCCACCCGGAGTAAAGGAGAATGAAGAGCACCAAAGTCACAAGGAAAGCATTAGCCCAAAAGACAAAAAGGGCCACATAAACCAGAGACTTCATCAGCCTGAGACCAGAAGAACTAGATGGTGCCCAGCTACCACCAATGGCTGCCCTGACGGGGAACATGACAGAGAGTCCCTGATGGAGCAGGAGAAAAATTGGGTACAGAACTCAAATTCTAGTAAAAAGACTAGACTTAATGGTCTGACTGAGACTGGAGGAACCCCAGA